AGATCCTATGATATGACAAAGAGGGATTTTGTTTTTTAACAATGTGCAGTGACAGGTTTGTCTAGTGGGTAAAATAAAGGCCAAGTTTTGCACTTCACTTTGTCATTGTTCCAATTCATGGTGGTTTGGCTGCCAGTGAAAGAAATCTAAACAATGGCCAAGACAATGAGGGTTTCACTTTGTCTTACAAAAAGAGAAATCTGCAGTCAGCGTTCAGGGGTGGTATGTAGACTCCATGTTGCCAAAGGAAGATGGGCGCCTGCTCTTGTTCCACTCAGCCTTGCTATGGGCGTGTTCCTCATGAGTGTAGGTGGCTGCTGGTGTGCATGCAGTTGAGTCTGCCCACTTCACTTGGCAACACTCACTTATGTCTCCTTGGTCACCTGCTTTGACTTCAAAGACAGCAAGGCTTTTTACAAGCATGCCACTGAAACCACGTTTGCAAAAATTGAGACAGTGAGAAAATGTTGACAGTGAAAGACATCTGACCTAACCAACCTCATTGTTAACCTCCAAACTGCTCTTGGTCATTCCTGGGTGTGGGACAAGCTAACTTTGGGAGAAATTTAGTTTGTAGTTTAACCTTAAAGCCAGGATGATAATAGCCCTTCCCAGACCTCAGTCATCAGGTTAGGATTACGAGAGGAGCCTGAATCCTGCTAAGATGTAGGCGTGGTTAAAGGATATCCACCTTTGTTCCAGAGGTCACAAGATTCGTAACTTCCCCAGTTACTCCTACAGATAACATGACTATTGTAGAATCTAAGATTGGCCTTTTGAGACGTCTTTTCAGACTCTTGCATTTCAGAAGACCTGATGACTCTGCCTGGACCCAAGACTTGTGACCCAATGGGTCCTGTGTCCCCACCCACAAGCAGACTCAGCACACCAGGACCGTTTCCCACACCCCTATGATTGCATCTCCAACCAATCAGCAGCACCCATTCCCTAACCCTCTCCCCACAAACTATCCTTGAAAATCCCTAACCTCGGAATTTTCAGGGAGGCTGATGTGGGTCATAATACAACTCCAGTCTCAGCTGGCTCTGCATGAATTAAACACTCTCTATTGCCATTCTTCTGTCTTGATAAATCAGCTCTATCTGGGCAGCCAGCAAGATGAACCTGTTGGGCGGTTACACTACTTAGATTTAAATATCAACATATTCAGCTAAAAGAGTTGAAAGCACCTGCCTGAGTGTGGGAAAAAAGGGGGGAAGGGCAAAGAGAGTGAGAAAATGCTTTTTTTAGTAACAAACCTTATAGAAGTATTTGCTAATTTAATCTGTTTGTTCATCCCTTGGATTAAATAAACAGAAAAAAAAAAAAGATTGAAGTCATCTGTGAAGTGGCTCTGCAGCCAGCCTTGTCCCTTCCTCCTAGGGGATGGGCAGCAGCTCAGATCCAGGGCCCTCTTCCCCACCTTCCTCCCCCTCCTCCCTCCTCATACACAGTCTGACTGCAGCTTCCCAGCTGGAGCAGAAAGCAAAAGAGAAGTGATTGTACCTAATCACCTGGGTCATTTTCTCAGAAATTGCTTTCTTTTTCACCTTTTTTCATGAGGAACAAAAAGGAACAGGAGAGGCAGCCCAATTGCTGTTCTTGTGAGCTCTGGCTCTCCGCAGGGGGCTGGCCTGAAAGGGCAAATGCCTTTGGAGCAGGCTTCAATCTTCTCTCCCTCTGGAGAGAAGCCCGCCTCAATGCCACTCTACAAAATGAAATGGCCACTTGGGGGGAGGCAGATAAGTCCAGGCAAAATGCTTTTCACATAAGCATGAGAGAGAAAGAGAGCGCGAGCAAGAAAGTGCACAGCTGCTAACCCGGGTGAGAGGCCCAGATCAACTTCCATTAACTCCTGTGGCTCAAAGTCTTTGAAAGTGTATCCAAGCTGGACTCACATGGTGAAGCCAAAAGATGACTCTGAGGACTGGAGTTTGAGCCCAACTTGGGTCTGACTTGCTGTGCGGTCAGGGAAAAGTCACTTAACCTCTCTGGACTTCATTTCTGCATCTGTTGAAGGAGGTGGAAGGATTTCTACCCTGAATGCTGAAAGGGGCAATAGGAAAAACAGATGAAACCATTGTAATCCCCCCAGTTTGTAAATTTTGTTAGGGGATACTTCTCGGGCTTTCTGTCTCAGACAACTGTTCTTTATGTCAGCTCTTAAATGAGGCTGATCTGCTATAATCATTCCCTTCTTGTCGGTGGTGTACACGGGAGTGATAACCGTGTAACTGAGCATGGTGGCTACTCCTTGGGGAAGGAGGGACCTGCACTTGGGGGCAGGTACTCCGAGGGTTCGGCAGCACACACGCGGAGGGCTTCAACCCTCTCCTCATGTCTGGAAGCTAGAAACATGGATATTCATGATTATTCATGATAATATTTTTCATGCCTTTTGTATGTCTACACTGGAGTCGTCTACACTGCAGTCTACCAACCTCAGCACTGTTGACATTTTGGACTGGTCGATTCTCTGTGGTGGGGTTGTCCTGGGCATTGTAGGATGTTTATCGGCATCCCCGGCCTCTACCCACTAGATGCCACTAGCACCCTCCCCTTCTCAATTGTGACAAGCCAAAAAGATGTCTCCAGACATTGCCAAGTGTCCTCTAAGGGTAAAACTACCCCCAGCTGAGAACCACTAGTCTAGAGAAAAGATGACCTATGGCTCGGAAATATTAGATGACTTCTCCAAAGTCGCAGAGTCAGTAAATGAAAGAGACAGCTCCAGCAGGCAGGCCTTTCCGTCTCCGCTAGCGCTCTTTCAGATCTCTCCGAGTGCCCTCAAGAGCAGATCGTTTCATTGTTGGGATTACAGTGGAGTTGCTTCAGACGTAAATACAACGGAATACACTTGACAGAAAATAAAACATGGGAAGATTATCTTTAGTTTTATAACAAAGAGGATAGTAAATATATGCTAATAATGAAACATAGAATATGTAAATGTATGTAAATAATCCAGCCGAGGCGTGCCCCTCTTTGGGCACCTGCTGGTGGGAGGGGGTGGTGGCAGATGGAGCTGCAATTCTGTCATTGTGTCTCCGTTGCCAAGGGCCACTCGAATGTGCTCATTTACCCATATTGAGGATGATCCTGGGGTTTGAATATCTTCAGCTGTTTCTACATCTGATGTTGGCCTTGATTAGTAATTTGAGATCCCGAGCCAACATCAGGTGCTACCCTACCGTTTTTCAAAGAAGTGGAGGCTGCTGGTGCCATGTCCCCACAGCAGAGCAGGGTGGCGACTGGTTGGTTGGAACCCACAGGCCCATCGTGGGTAAGAGGAAATGAAAATCCTGGAAAGGTGAATAAATTGTAAGCAAGTACCTCATGGCTTACATAACGTAATTGAAATTTCCAGAAGCCGATGGGTGATGCCCTAGATCCAAAGGCGCAGTAACTAGATGGTTTTATGGCAAGGGCGGCTCATCAAGTGTCAGGGACGTTCTGATGCAGAGATGCAGATGTCAGGGCTCGGGGAGGCAGCTGGGCGATGAGGACTCTAATGCCTCTTCCAACTCATTGCTTTTCATTAAGTTATTAGAGATGAAAAAAAATACTTCCAGTCCAGACTGTCATTTGACCTTTCAGTGGGCCTCTGACTATGTCTCTGACTACATTTTTAAACTGATGGTCAGCAAATGCATCCCAGGTATGCGCCCTGGGAGGAAACAGTAGGTAATCGTGCCACACTGCATTTAACTCACCAACAAATTCCACTGCACATTGAGGAGGTGGGGAGATGCAGAGATGGGCTTGACACAGGGCAGAAATTCAGCTAGTCTTTGGGCTCAGTAGAGGGAGGCCCTGGGCACTGAATGCCGTGATGTCTAAAAGTCCAGAAAGCTTGGAAAACCTATAGAAAGAATGTGAGAATGATTTGAAGGGGCTTCCCAGGCATAAAACAGGGGGGAAATACTGCTTATTCAAGTGGCCCCTGCAGGCTTCCTCAGTATCCTTGAGGAATCATAGGAGGGCATACGGTCATGGGCTAGAGCCAGGCTGCGTGAGAGTGAGGTGTAGCAACCTCACATGGTGCTGTGCAACACTGAACAGGTTAATTAACCTCTCTGTTTTTTGTAACTTTTGTGTGTATGTATGTACAAAATGGAATTATCATGAAGATAAATATTAAGTTCAACCATGTGAAACTGCTATTCCCCACAGGAAATTGTCAACTATAGGCAATTTCATATGATTCAACCTAATATTCCATAGGGAATGAAGTTAAGAGTTGAAAAGTTCTGACCACAGTGCCTGGCACTGAGTAAGCCCCAGGTAAGTGCTGGTATCTTACTTACCAAGGTTTAGGGAAATGTACAGCATCTTCTCTATGTGTTTGTGTGGCATGCTTCACCCTAGTGATCTTCAAACTCCATCACGACCCACCTCTATTAGTCAGGGTTCCCCAAAGAGACAGAACTAACAGGATATATGTAGACATGAAGGGGAGTTTATCAGGAGAATCGATTCACATGAGGGCAAGGTGAAGTCCCACAAGAGGCCATCCGCAAGCTGAGGAACAAGGGAGCCAGTCTGAGTCCCAAAACTCAAAAGTAGGGAAGCCGACAGTGCAGCCTCCAGTCTGTGGCCCGAGAGTCCCTGGCAAACCACTGGTTCAAGAGTCCAAAAGCTGAAGAACTTGGAGTCCGATGTTCGAGGGCAGGAAGCATTTAGCATGGGAGAAAGGTGGAGGCCAGGAGACTCCGTCAGTCTACTCCTTCCACGCTCCTCTGCCTGCTTTTATCCTAGCCATGCTGGCAGCTGATTCGATGGTGCCCACCCAGACTGAGGGTGGGTCTGCCTCTCCCAGTCCACTGACTCAAATGTTCATCTCCTTTGGCAACACGCTCACAGACACATCCAGAGACAATACTTTGCATCCCTCAATCCAATCAAATTGACACTTAATATAACCATCTCACCATCAGAGGGTTGTGAGCTGTTAATAGATTAAGAAATAAAATCAGTGGGTCAGAATTTTTCCCAAGAGGATGGAATAGGGGAGAAGACAGTAGGATATTTTACACATCATATAATAAATATTGCTTTAAGAGGCTTGTCAATTCCATCACGTGTGTCTGTCCACATGTGTGTGTGCCTATGCACGAGTGTGTACCAGATCACAGGGAAAGATACATTTCATGCTACGCGTTAGAGTTAAATAAAGTTTTAAAGTCAGTGCACTTGACCATATATACTGGACCTTATGAGTACTTGAGGGAATTTTTAAGACTAATTTTGACTATGCCACTCACTGATCTGTGGTCTTGAGCGAGTTACTGGGCCTCTCTGCGTCTCAGTTTTTTAATCTAGAAAATGGTGAAGACTCTTGCACCTGCCTCCCAGTACTGAGGTGAAAAAAGCGGGTAAGAGGCTTGGCGTATTTCCTGGCATGTAATGAAGAGTCCAGTAGATGCTAGCTGCTGCTGTTTTGTTTGTTCTTTAATTTCCATGGCACGAATGGCATTGCAGAAGGTGAGGCTCTACTGCTAAAGGAAGAAATAGATTTATCCCTGATTTTGAGGAAAGTTCATAAGGCAGAACATTCTTGGATAAAATAACCTAAGAACATCAAACAGCAAACAATTACCCTCATGTAAACAATTACACTGCACTAAGTAACTCTGATATGGAAAGATGGCATCACTGTAGTGAGAGATCAATCCAGGAGGACTTCCTGGAGGAGGAAGTTCTCAGCTGATCTCAAAAAAGATTCAGGGGTGGGATTGGAGGAAGGTTGGGTCAAGGACATCTGGGGAGAAAAAAGGATTGTGGAAAGTTCAAGATGTGATTGGTAAATCATGCACTAATGCCGGGATCAAGAGCTGGACCCACCTCCTGGAGAGGGACCATGGTCAGACAAAGCTCTCTGGGGTCCACAGGAAAGGGACAAATCAGATATCACGGGAGCTCACTGTTGCTGACATATTATGATCATGTCAGGGCCGGGCATCTGCCTAAGTGCTACAAATGTTTATGAATATTAATAAGCATTTTGTTCCCAAAGGACCACAAATCAGTTAATTAGGGCCCTGTCAACCTGTTTATATTATCTATAAATGAAAACCCGTCAGCAGTCAAACATGAAATTAAGTGAGCCGTGTGTCGGCTGCCACCATCTCTGGATAAACGACACTGCCAGTTCCTGTGTGAGCCCCACCCTCGGCACAAAGGAGGATATTCTCACCACCCTCATTTTAATCAAGGCAGTGGTTACAGGAGGCCCATGATAGACGGTGCCTCGGATTTCACCACTGCCTGTTGGGGGATGATTTAAGACTGTCGGTAAATTAGCTGCAATCCAGAGTCTTGGAGGAGAAGAAGAATGACCTATAAATCAATGTTCCATGGACAGGTAATCAGGCCCCCATTCCAAGCCCTGATTACCCTGGGCCCAGTGGTCCATCTGTTCCATCTTCCTGGTGTGATGGGGCTGGGATGGGGGCACTGAGTCATTGGCCCCACCTGGATCGTGTTCGCGTCTGGACAGGTCAGTGTCCTTGAGCCCAGGTGTCTTAAGTGTGTTTCCTGGAACAATCCTCAAGAAGTCGCAGGGCCCTAGAGGCAGAGAGAGAGGGATGGAAGGATGGAGAGAGCGGCAGGGACTGAGGAAGACAGAGATTCATTCAACAACAGTGTGTGCCGAGCACTAGGCTCGCAGCCCGAGATAGGCACATCAGTGAGCAACGAAACAGACAAGAGAGGTGGCAGGCGACAGAGGAGACCAGAGTATGCCCTGAACTAACCAAGGCGAGATGCCCTGTCCTCCACCTCATGACACGGGTAACTCCTTCCCGAAAACCTCCTTCCCAAAAACTCCTTCTGGGGCAAATCCTTGTTAATATTTTTTCCTCCGGGCAAAATACTATGGTTTCTTAACCATATTTATGCTGAAACAACAGTAAATTCCAACAAGTTGCATGAAAATGGGCACAATGGCTTGAAGAATTAGGATTAACGATCCAAATTCAACCTAACAAGACACGGTCCCTGCGGTAGAGAACTGGGGTAGAAAATACAGATCCTGGAGCCATCTCCCTGGTTCGAATCCAGGCTCTGCCACTTGCCGGCTGTGTGACCTAGGGTAAGTTACTTACACTCTTTGTGCCTCAGTTTCCTCATCTGTAATATGAAGATAATAACAGGATTGACCATGTGGCAGGATTGAAGGAGTTAATATATGTGAAGTGGAACATATCAGCTCTCTAGTAATTGCCTGCTTGAGGGGAAATAGGTAAAAACGTTTAGGGCCCGCAGCCTAGTTGTAGCACAAACCAGCTGTGTAACCTTGAGAGGTTACTTAACCTCTCTGTTCTCTCATACTCTCTGTTTCCCCTTCCTGTGGGAGTAAAGTGGATCTACTTAGCCGGGTTTGCTCATGAGGATGAGAACCGTGCATCTATGTTGTAGGTTTGGTTACTTGGTTCTTGCTGCTGTCCCACCAAAAGGTAAGCTCTGGGGTAGGGACGTGGTATACCTGTTCCCTGCTCCCTGCTGGGTCTCCAGGCCCAGCGTCACGGGCGTGTGATCTGTGCAGTCTCCCATGCTCAGAAGAGCCTCCTACTTGGCTTAGTGCTCTATTGTCATCATCTTAAAATTCTTAAATGTCTTTGAACAAGGGTCCTCATATTTCTGTTTTGCACTGGGCCTGCATAGCAGGGATCTGGTCCAGCCCACATACATGTACTAGGTGCAATTCTGGTGGATGAATTGGGTCGAAGCAGGAAGGCTCTTTCATCTCTTCCCAAACATGTGAATATCATTTTCTCCCTTGAGCCCGCTGCTGCTCTGTGCCTTTCTGTGGGGATAGGGGAACCCCCTCCCCCAGCCCTGGAACTCCAGGTCCCAGCACTGCTTGCCCTAAAAAGGGCCCCTCTATCCCTCACAGGTGTGCTGGGAGGTGTAAATACAGTTTCCCAATTGAGAAGTGTTCCAGAATCACCCCGACATCGTGCCCAGCACTGAGCTGGGTCAGGCTGGAGAGAAATGGTATTGGCCACAGAATCTGCCATCCCATTGCTATTAGTGTCCTGTGGCTGCTGTGACAAATCACTGCAAACTGCAGGCCTTGCAACAACAGGAATTTATTCTCTCGAAGTTCTGAAGGCCAGGAGTCTGAAATCAAGGTGTCTGCAGGGCCTCGCTTTATCCAGTGTCTCTCAGGGAGACGCCTTCCCAGCCTCTCTCAGCTTTGGGTGGCCCCAGGTGTTCTTGGCTTGTGGTGGCCTCACTCTAGTCCCATCCTTCATTTTCACAGGTCTTCCCCTCTGTGTCATTGGCTCCCTCTTCTGTCTCATAAAAACACTTGTCAAGGTTGTAGGACCTACCCGACTAATCCAGGATAGCCTCCCCTCAAGAGTCTTCACTTCATTATATCTGCAAAGACTCATTTTCTAAATAAGGTCCCATTCACAGGCACCAGAGGTGGAGGCCTTGGACATATCTTCTTGGGGGCCACAGTTCAATGCACTCTGTATCCAAGATAGGGCAGAGAATGCCATGAGGGCAAAGGAAGGCAGGAGCATGGCAGTGGCAGCTTATCCACGCACAGCTCTTCTGTGTGCCAGGAGAGGTTCCAGCTGCCTTGCGTGTTCATTAACTCATTTGCTCTGCATATCAACCGGTGCTATGACTGTACCCATTTTACAGATAAGGAAACTGATGCACAAGCAAAACCAATCAGTGCTTCAAGACATGCAGCGAGGACAGGTCAGAGCTGGCAGTGGAAGCTGGCAAGTCATCTGTCTATGGAGTCTGAGCTCCAACCCACCTGCTCCACTGTGGGCTGGGCTCTCACATGTGGGTTGGGCTCTCAGATGTAGGTGGTCTGGGGCCAGGCAGGTGACATAAAAAGTGAAGGGGCCTCCAGAAAGTGGCGAGGGCTGGGGCGAACTGGCGAGGTAGGTGGGACGTCGTTCCTCAGCACCAGTCAAATGCAGTGATTTCAACTCTCCCTCTTTTTTAAAAAGGGAGTAAAAATCCAGACTTTTATGTGGAAATTCCCAACGATCAGATTTGGTGATTGATTTATTTTTTAAAAGCAAAATGAAACTCATCAGTAGTCTGTAAGTCAGCAGTCAGCTACCACCGCCAGGGTAAAGGAGAGGGTCATTCATTCTGACTTTGGGAGTCAAGAATACAAGAATGGCCAGCGCTGATTTAGGGGACACAGGGTCCTTCCGTGGGCACAGCCACGCTTGGCAGAGCCGCGGGCCCTTGTGGCTCCCTGCGATTGCTGACTCTTAAGTCCTGCTCTCATCTGGCCCTAAAGAAGCCATCAGCAGGAGGTGACAGTGACCGTAATTCTGTTTTTATGATGACCGAGCGACGGTCTTTTCAGGCTGAGTGGTGCTGAGTGATGGCTGGTGATTTAGGCGCCTTACAGAGGGATTAGGGAGGTGAAGCTAAATGCATTTTCCTCCGAGGCCCAGACTGGCTGCAAACAAGTTTCCATGGAGGATGCTGATAAAAAGCAAATTATTTTATTCTGTTCACAATCAATTCCAACTCCAGACTGCAGACTCCCCCAAGAAATAAAGTATTAACACTTATCGTATGGAGCTGAATTCTTTGAGGAATAGTAATCCTTAAACAGACAGAGGCAACATAGTTTTAAACCATTAAAATCCAGTGTGTGCACTCACTCATCCTTCTTCTTAATGAGCCTTGCGCTGTCTCCATGTATTTGGTGTAAGAAATGAATTCAAGTCACATTTCATTGACAGGGAAAGGGGTGCCCTCGGGGGCATTTGTACTAGAAATAGACATTTTTGCAATGGGGTCGTCGTCTTGTGTGGTGGGCTCTGGGTCTTTCTGACTGTTCAGCAGCCATTCCCCCATTCTCTGGCCCTAGGTATTCTTGGCTCACAAGCTCAATCCTTGTGCTTTGGGTGGATCCAGGGCCAGCCACGTGACCCAGGCCTGGCCCTTCCATTGTCCAGCCTCAATCACTGGTAGGGGTGGGGATGGGGCTGAAGATGTAACTGGTTGGTCCAATCAGAGCCGATCCTGGATCACTGCTGGCACAACAGGGACTGAGGCCTCTCCTGATGTCACAGTTGCCGTGAGGGCAGGATAGCGGCCTGAGGTTGCTGCTCATCATGTCTTTTATTCCTGCCAGCTGAGAATGGAGCCAACTTAGAGAACAGAGGAACTGAGAGAGAGAAATGGATCAGTGTTTCCAGAGTCCAGAATCCAAGTCACTTAAACCCTGGATCCAGCTGCATCTCAGGCCATAAACCCTTCAAGCTTTCATTTACAGAAGTGATCATACTCCTCTTTACTTTAATCCATCCGATTTGGATTTCTGTCACTTGCAACCAAAAAAGTCCTGGCACACACCTCCTTGTGAGACACCATCTTCTCCAGAGCACTGGTCTAGCCCATGGTTTTCCCCAAAGGTGACAGCACAGAGACAATGCTCCTCTCTCTGCTCGGTCAGACATGCACTGGCCTGGGGTCCTCTCATCATTTTCCTTCCTTCTCTTAAGGCCCTATTCCAAACATGCAAATCACGGATCCTTCCTTGGTTAATCTCTCCTGGGCAGAGGTTGAGGGCACGTAGAGGTCACTGGCACATCGTTCATTTGCAACTATGTGCCCATGATATCTACCTTCCCTCAACCAATGCACTCTCAGGTTGGGCCCTGGCTATCTAACACTGCAAAGAGCCTTCGCCTGCCTAGAGTGATTCCGGAAACACCAAGAAGCATGCCCTCCCCCTTTCCCCAAATCCTTCCCACACCGTCGCTGCTGCCTGGAATGCCAGCATTAGAGAGTCTCGTTTTCAATTTCCAGATGAAGAAAATCACCCTGGAGAAAAGTAACACTTTAAACCTCACATTAAAGCTTCTTTGATGAGAACATGAGAATCCGTTTTCCACGAGCAATTGTTGATAAGAGAGAGGTAGAATTTGTGGCACGGTCCAATCTTAGTCCCAGCATTTACGATATTTTGGGAGCATGAAAATCTCTGGAGATGCGACCTAGTGGAGTAGAAAGATAACAGGAGGCCCGGTTTCTAATCCTGCTGGAGATTCATTTACCCAGCAAATACTTACTGAACATTATTACATGACAAGCTCTGTGCAAAGCACCAGAACATTGTGAGTTGTGAGTTGTGTGACTTTGGGCAGTTTTCTGAGTTGCAGGGGTGAGGCCAGAAACTGTGAAGATGAGGACATTTGGACACTTTCCCTTCCTGCACCATGGCAGGCGTTACTAAACGATCAGGACACTCCATCCCGCTGGGGGTTTGGGTGGGTTCTTAACAGGTGCCAGGTGGCTGCATCAGTCAGAACGGGCTAGATTATGCTGTGTAAGAAACACACAAGCTGTTTCATGGCTCACAAGAGCAAAACTGACTTTTTCATGGGGCCGCAGGTCCTCCACAGCTGGACTGCCACTCAACTCCAAGCCACCCGCCATCCAGAACCCCAAGCTCTGTCACAGGGCCTCCCAACCTCAGCACTCCTGGCACTCTCTATCGTGGGGGCTGTTCTGTGCATGGAAGGATGTTTAGCAGCATCTGTGGCCTCCGCCTATGTCAGGGGTTGAACTGTGCCCCCAACCCATTTCGTATGTTAAAGGCCTAACCCCGGCTACTTCAGAATGTGGCCTTATTTGGAAATGGGGTTGCTGCAGGTGTCATTAGCTAAGATGAAGTCACACTGGAGTAGGGTGGGGCCGTAATCCAAAATGACTAGCGTCTCTAGGAAAAGGGGAACACTGGATGCAGACATGCACCCGGGGAGAACGCCATGTGAAGACGAAGGCAGAGATCAGGGTGATGCTTCCACGAGCTAAGAAGCACCAAAGATGGACAGTGACACACCAGAAACTACAGGAGAGGCATGGAACAGATTCTCCTTACAGCCCTCAGATCTTGATGTGGGACTCCAGAACGGTGAGCCTGTCTGTTTCTGTTGCTGAAGCTGCCCAGTCGTGCTACCATGTTACCGCAGCCCTAGCAAACAAATTCAACCCACAAGGTGCCCGTAGCACCCTCCCCCCAAGTCATGGCACCCACAAATGTCTCCAGACATTGTGAACAGTCCCCGGGGTGTCAGAATCCTGCTGGGCTGAGGACCATGCTCTACCAGGAGCATTTCCGGGGACTGGTGGGGCAGGCACAGGTGGAGCTTCAGCTCAGAAGTAGCCCGTGTCACTTCCACTCACTCCATTGGCCGAAGCCAGTCACCAAGGCACGCCTGAGTCCACAGGGTAGGGGTTATGGCCTTCCCACGGCGTGGGACATTGTACGGTGAACAGTCACCCATTCTCCCCGAAATCACCACCTAAGGGGAAGAAGTGGCAGGTGAGCCCATGGCCTCTCCCTCCCCTCCACTGGGCCTTTGCTCACTTGCCTCCTTCTCCAGGGGGCTTGCCAGGGCTGCGCCCTCTACCACCCTCTCGTCCGCTTTCCTGCTGTACATTCCTCTGGTTCTTGCCCCTGTCCAGCACATGGATTCCCTCTGGACACATTCTGAGTGTCCTCTGGCCCCCTCCCAAATGCCAGCCTACGAGGACAGGCCATTTTTGGTGTTACTCACAGCTCAGCCCCTAGCAGGTCTCCTGCCCAGCGCAGATGCTCCATGGATGTTGGTTGAGAGAGTGAGTGAATCCATGAACGAATAAAACTGTTTCTGGACTAGGTGATCTCCAAGGACATGCCGGAATTCTGCCATTCCAGCAAGAATTGGAGGCTGTTCTTTCCTGTCCCTAAGCCTACCCACCCCATGGTATCACTTCCTGCCAGAATAACAGATCCTGTCACTTATGCCAAGGGAGTAAATGTCTGTCCCTTCCTCATAGTTAGCTAGTTTTGCGCCTAGTCAGTAGCCCGCAGGAGCAGGGTGTTCGGTAACCAGGAGCTCCCAGCTGTAATGAGGACACCTGCCGAAGCCAGGGCCTCTGCTGGTTGCTATGGAAACCCTGCAAAGGGAAAGTCAGCCTTTCTTCATTAGAGCTATGTGGAGACAGATGCACGTTGGTGATCTCACTAGCCCTTCCAACCAGTGGCCCCTGGAAGTTTCCTGCTTGCACCCTCTCTGGCCCATCCACTCTCTCCCTGAGCTCTGGAGATGAGAGCAAAGGTTGTCTTGGGGTTCTTGGCCTTGTGGGATTTTACAGTCTATGCAATATAACCTACAAGCATTTATTGACCATCTGTTATGTGCTTGGGCCCAAGTGCAGCCTTTCTCCCCCCAAAGAGAAGACACTGAAAAACCCACAGCAGAGTGGCCAAGGCACACGTTCTAGAGCCTGACTCCGGTTCAAGTCCCAGCCCTGCCATTCTCTTGCTATGTGTGGTGGCTTTAAAATACATCTACATTTCTTTGACAGTCCTTCCGCTAGATTTATTTATGTTTCTCTGATGTTGACTAGGAATGAGTCGTCCTCACGGACAGCATGTGGGGGAAGTGGAAACTGCAAATTCCCAAAGCTTGGTCATAAAAGGCAGTTCAGATCTTGCCCCTTTCTCTTTCTCTCTCTCTCTCTCTCTCTCTCTCTCTCTCTCTCTCCCCCTCCCTCGACTTGTTTCTTATGAGCTCTGGCCCAAGGTGTCAGAACTTTGACCACCCTGAAGCAAGGCTGGAATGTCACGATGAGAGGTTGCACAGAGACAGACAGAGATGGTGGGGGAGCCTTAGCTCCTGGCCTCAGCATCGCTGTGGGTATGAGGCTCAGGGGGGTAGACATGCCCTGAGGCTACCAGGCAATGCCGTATCTGCAGGGGTCCCAGAATGTGAACCTGAGCCTCCTCCAGCTAAGACAGGCTCCCTGCTCCCATGGGGTGGGAGGGAGGGGGCAGAGCCCGGAGGGGAGACAATCTGGTTGTGCAGAGAGGAACACTGAGGGCCATGCTCTGAGTGGCAGGGCTAGGGGCAAGGCCAGCCATGGGCAAAAGTTGGGACTGAGCACCATTTGCACAGCTCTAGCAAGTTCTAACTTCTTCTTCTATAGCTTCTTCTATAGCTGCCGAGACACTGCTCCTTGTGAGTGGTGGTACCAAGAAAGAGACGGAAGCAAGACACAGGCAGAGAAAGGTAGAGACACAGAGACAGGGAAGTGCCCAGAGGAAGACAGACTGAAACAGAAAGGAAAAGAGAGCGAGAGAAAGTGAGAGAGAGAAAGCAAGGGAAAGACAGAGAGAGAGACACAGAGGCTAGATGAATTATAAGAGCTACAGAAAGCAGAGGGGCATTAGGCTCCAGGTATTGAGAACCCCGAGTCTGACCTCATGGAAGTCACTGCTTCTGCCTCCAGGGAACAGGCTGGCAGCTGTTCTTGCTGGACCCCTACTCCTCCATTCCTGGTCCCTCCACCCCCAGACGCACAGGACAGGAGCTCCGTGTGCTGCCACAGGCCTTTGTTTCCCCGAGGGTCCACCCTGCGCCCAGCCCGGTCTCTGCCCTGACTCCCAAGCTGCCCACCTCCTGGCGTGAACAGATGCTCCCTTCTTCTTGTTTTTCCTGTGGACAGAGGGGACCCAGCCTGGGCTTCTCCAGGCCTGGGCATTGTGGATTCAGGGCAGACGCCCTCCCTGGGAAGTCAGAGGGAACAGATGTGCTTCTGCGGTCTCCATGGAGACCTGCCAGCCGGGCAACATCGATGGGCAGCCAGGCCTCCAAGCTTTTGTCTTTGCAAAGCCTTTGCTGAATGCGAACATTAAAAGCAAATCTGCCAGGCATCCAGAGAGACTGGAGCTTCCCTCCTGGCCTCTCGGGGCCTGGCTGACTAGGACACCCCAAAGCAGGAAGAGACGCATGGGAGCCCTTGGTGAACTCTCAGAGGACCCCAGGCACTGGCTCTGGTTAAATAATGCTCGGCTCCACCTGCTGTTGTTGAAACACGCCAATGCCCACTCCAGTTGTAGTACGATGGCCCCACAGATCTGCCCTGGAAGAAAGAAAAGAACAACCCTGGCCTGTCTTGAATGGATATAAAAAAGCGTGTTTAAGAGGTGGAGGCAGATGACTAGAATATTTCGTGGCCAATTGTTTATTCATTCGCCAATGGACTAGGGTACAGGCAGTGAGCACCCCAGACACAGATTGTCCTCTCATGGAGCTGATATGAAGTAGAGGAGATGGACACTCAACACAGTGACAAATAAAGAAGAAGATTCCAGCCAAGGAAACAAGAGCAAATCGAGGGCTGGAGAGTGAAGAGAGTGGGTGAGGCTTATATCATGGGGCACACAGGGAACGTGGTTCCAAGCAGGTGACATGAGAGCACAGACCTGAATGAGATGAGAAAAAGTGGCCCAGAAGGAGGGTTCAGAGTCCAGTGCAAAGGCTCCGAGTCCACCTTATTCAGAGGCTAAGGCACTCGCTAATCAGAATTATTCCCACCCACTCAGGATGCTTCCTGGCTTCATGAAGATGGAGGTGCAGCCACTGCCCCAGTAAGACATTGTAAGATCTTCTTCCTTTCCCAGAGGGCAGGTCAGGTAGGGGGTGCAGGGAGCTCCAGGGGGCTCCCCTTTTCAGGTTACCCTGTACGTGAGGCTGATGATTAGGTGCTGTGGGACCTTGAAACCACAGAGCTGGAAGGTTCCTTTGGGGTCACATAACCGCCCAGTGGGTTCTCCTTGCTTGCTGCCCAGATGGAGCCAATTTATCAAGAGAGGAAAATTACAATAGAGAAAGAGTTTAATTCACACAGTACTGGCTGAACAAGAGAGCAGAGTTTTATTACTCAAATCAATCTCTCTGAAAATTCAGAGGCCAGGGTTTTTCAAGGATAGTTTGACATGCAGGAGGCTAGGGAATGGGTGCTGCTGATTGGTTGGGGATGCAAACATAGGGGTGTGGGAAACAGTCCTTGCACTCTGAATTCACCTCTGGGTGGGGCCACAAGGACCAGTTGAGTCAAAAGTCACAGGTCCAGGTAGAGTCATCCAGGGCATTTTCAGGAATGCAAAAGTCTGAGGAGAGATCTCTAAAGGACACTCCTAGGTTCTACAATAGTCATGTTATCTGCAGGAGTAATTGGGGAAGTTGCAAATCTTGTGACCTCCAGAATAATGACTGGCAATCCTTTTTGCCTACATCTTAGTAGAATTTGGCCTCTCATCCTTCTAACTCGGTGTCTTTCATTAGGAGGTTTAGTTCGTGGGAAGGGATATTATCATTTAAACTATACACTAAATTTCTCCCAAGGTTAGCTTGCCAAGCCCTGGAATGACCAAGGGCAGTTTGGGGGCTGAAGGCAAGACAGGGGCTGGTTAGGTCAGATGAATTTCACTGCCATAATTTTCTCACTGTTATAATTTTTGCAAAGCGGTACTGTCAGAGGGGAACCAGGTGGTTCCATGTTGAATAGGGGCTGGATAAAATGAGGCTGAGACCTGCTGGGCTGCATTCCCAGGAGGTTAGGCATTCTTAGTCACAGGATGAGATAGGAGGTCAGCACAAGCTACAGGTCACAAAGACCCCGCTGATAAAACAGGATGTGATAAAGAAGCCGGCCAAAACACACCAAAACCAAGATGGTGACCAAAGTGATCTCTGGTCATCCTCAATGCTAACTATACACCAATTATAGTGCATTAGCATGCTAAAAGACACTTCCACTAGTGCCATGGCAGTTTACAAACGCCATGACAACATCAAGAAGTTACCCTATATGCTCTAAAATGGTGAGGTACCCTCAGTTCCAGGAATTGCCTGTCCCTTTCCTAGAAAACTCATGAATAATCTACCCAGTGTTTAGCATATGATCAAGAAATAACTCTAAGTATACTCAGTCAAGCAGCCCATGCTGCTCCTCTGCCTGTGGTGTAGCCGTTCTTTTATTCCTTTACTTTCTTAATAAACTTGCTTTCACTTTACTGTATGGACTCGCCCCAAATTCTTTCTTGCATGAGGTCCAAGAACCTTCTCTTGGGGTCTGGATCAGGACCACTTTCTGGTGATGTTTCCAGTCACTTAGGCCAGCATTTCCCAAACATCAGCTTCACGTCCACCAGCATCATCTTGTACCTGCATCTCACCTGGGCAAAATTACACATGTCCCTTCAAACCTGCTTTCCATCCACTCTCTTGTAAGAATCAACCTCATCCTTGGGAATAGCAATTATCACAATATTTCTTGTTCTTTCTATTTCTTGATAAACAGTTATTAAAATAGAAACATGCATGTCTGGGTACCAGCTGAAATCTGCCCACTGATGCCACTTTGGGCAGCCCTGTTCTAGTCCAGTCTCTGAGTTTATGCACAGCTGAAGCCCAGAGACATGAGAGGATTTGTACAAAACTGCAGGATTAGCAAGCTCTTCATTTCCAACTCCCTGTCTGTCCTCTGGGCTGGCTCATTCCCAGCTGACATTCAGAAAACAAGCCCAGTGACCCAGGTCACCCAGTTCTCAGAGGATGCCGGGTCTCAGCGCTCTTTGGTTTCTTTCTGAGTAAGCTGTCTCTTTCCTCCTCAATCTCTCCCTTCCATCTTTCCTTCCCTCCCTCCTTTCCTCCTTCTTTCTCCCTCCCTCTCCACTCTTCATAGTTCTGAAGTCACCAAGAAGATTGCGGAACCTTAACTCTTCCTAACTCACTGATTCCAAGCCACTCTTTCCAGAGAAAGCAGCACTCATTTCACCCTCTTCTCCATAAAGGGGCAAAAAGATCCTTATTCCTCATAAACATTTTGAAACAACCTATCACATGAAATAGGGGTCCAATCACCCCCAACAGAATCCTTCAGGGAGGATTAATGGATACATTTACTGATTCAACAATTTTTATTCTTATTTATTTTGCTACTTTTAAAATATGACATTTATTGGTTAGATGGTTTGATACAGAACAGCTTTCCTTTCATTCTGATTTTGAAAGTTCTATACAA